AACTTTGTTTTTCAGCTTTCAGAAATAAGAATCACACATAAAGAATTCTGTAATAGTTCTCATCAGTTTTTTTGAAATCTTAATAAAAATCTCCCTGTACATGTAATGAAGAATAGAAGTATACGCTATTAAAACTGATCAGTGCAAAACTCAGACAGCATAACAAACAAGGGAACTGTATGACTCACAACAACAAAGCTCATTTCTAACCTCAACTCCATGCACATGTGTCCGGCAGAACAGAACCTGCTCCTCATCATCACGCAGGGGCCCGGGCGGATGGAGCAATGACCCTGTGCCGGAGAGAAAAGAAAGCTCTGGAGAGCTTCACATGGGTGAGGGTGACACTTCCCTTGTGTCCATAACTTACTGACCAGAAAGAGTCACATGGCCTTACCCAGTCCCAAGACCGCCATAAAATGCACTCCAACCTTATGCCTGGAAAGGAGGGGGTGGATGGGAAATATTTGGTCACCTGTATTAAATATGTTTTCATAATATGTTTTAACCTTTATTGAATAATACATACCAAACCTAAAGTAAAATGATGTATGACCTTTTTTTTTTGTAGATTATTCACCATAATGCGAAAAAATATGAAAGTCTCTCAAAATAATCCACTTAGCATTTAAAATAATCAGTGTCACTAACCTCTACTACTTCAGCTCTTCAAAGTTGCTTTTCTTTCCAGATAATGATACATCCTATGGATAAATATTGAAAATAGCTGAAAAAATGCTTATATTTAAATACGTGGGGGGGAAATTGAGGGCTCAATATTTTCTTCAGCGCTGGCTTGGCTTTGCTCTCGCCAGACTCTCAGTAACCATGCACTTTTCCACCAGTGCATTGGAATAGAAGGAACATGATGATTAAAGGGAATCTACTATTACTCCCATATTCACACTCACACTGCATATCTGATTTCAGAAAATCACAACAAATATCCAATTACCATATTTCTAGCAGCCACACTTCACCCTTGTATGAAATACACGTAAGACAGGAAAAGACAGGAAGCCTAAGGGCGTATGGTGCCTGCCTGGTCATTAAAGTAAGCTTCCCCCCGAGCTTGCTGAACTGTCCCTTGGTTTGTCATCCTGGAGCGTTCTACAGCTTGGGTGAGGGCTATACCTTTCTTTGGTAAAGCGAGAAAAGAGCTATTGTCAACGCAGAAGCAGAAGACCAGAACCTACACGATTCTAGGAAAGAGTATTTATGGGGGATCTGTAAATCAATTTACTTAAAAGAGTAAGCATCCACCTGCCCCTTGGACCATGCCACACAGTAAGAGCTTGAAGTTGATGCGAGCTTTATTCTTGCTCTATCTAATGGCAAGGAAGATGTGCCATACAATATGATGAATAATAAAACTGCTTACAGAAGAGGCTTTCTATTTTACCACAACCTAGAGTAAGAAGTATATTTTACATTATGATCCAATACACACACACACATATCATTTCATGAAACAATAATTACCCTCACTATATGTGATACACTCTGATAGTCCCTATTCTAATGTCTTTTAATGCTGGCCACAACCCACTAAATTGATTTCATAACCAACTAATGATTCATAGCCCACAATTTTAAAACACTGAGCTATAGAAAATGTAACCCCTGATTACAAGAAGTGGCCTTAGAGAAGCCTTAGCTTGGAGGTACAAGTGAGTCAACCGAGGTGTGAAGATCAATGTCCACAGAAGATTAAATTTTACTCTGTTCAGAGACATAGAAGTAGGGTACAGACTGACAAACCTCAGAAGAGGGGTTGTAGGGGAGGGAAGAGATAAACCACAGAACTTATATGCATGTATGCGTAACCATGGACATAGACAACAATTCTGGGGACGGGGTGGGGGGGAGAAGGATCGGGAGTAGGGAGTCAATGTAGGAAAAAGGAGAAACATCTATAACAAAAATATATTAATAAAATTTTTTTTAAAAATCGGTAACTACAAAAAATTTTTTTTTACTCTGTTATGTTAGTTTGCCCACCCTGATATTCACATTTTCCATTGGCCAGTAACAGTTTCTTATGAGCCAACATCATAAGCTTGCTGTTTCAACTCTGTGGTGGACTAAAAACTGTTTCCCAGCCCTGGTCAGTTTGGCTCAGCAGTTACAGTGTCTGCCCAGAGAACAGAGTCGTTGATTTGATTCCAGTCAAGGGCACATACCTTGGCTGTGGTTCGATCCTCCACCCTGGTTGGGGTCGTACAGGAGGCAACCAATCAATGTGTCCCTCTCACATTGATGTTTTTCTCTCTCTCTTTCCCTCCCTCACACTCTATCTGAAAATCAATGGAAAAATATCCTCAGGTAAGAATTAAAAAAAAAAAATGTCTCCCAAAGATATTGGGTCCTAATCTCTGAAACTTGTAATACTACTATAGCCCAGCCAGTGTGGCTCAGTGGTTGAGCATTGACCCATGCACCAAGAGGTCACCGGTTTGATTCCCAGTCAGGCACATGCCCAGGTGGTGGGCCAAATCCCCAGTGGGGGGCATGCAGGAGGCGGCCAGTCCATGTTCTCTCTCATTGATATTTCTCTCTCTACCTTCTTTCCCTTCCTCTCTCTCCAAAACCAATAAAGAAAAAAATTTTAAATACTACTATATATAGAAAAGGGGCATTTGCATATATGAACAAATTTATTATCTTGAGGTGGGGAGATTATCCTGGATTAACCAAATACGCCCTAAATGCAATTACATGTATCCCTGCAAGAGGGGGGCATTTGGAGATCTCACACACATAAGAGGAGATGATGTGAAGAGGAAGTAGAGAGAAATTTGAAAATGCTAGCCTTGAATACTGAGTGATATGACCCCAAGTCAATGAAACTTGAAGAGTCAAAGAACTAATTCTGCCCCAGAGCCTCTGCAGGGAGCATGGCCTGTCAACGCCTTGATTTTGGCCCAGTGATACTGATTTTGGACTTCAAGCCTCCAGAACTGTGAGAGAATAAAGTTCTGATTCTTTAGCCACAGAGTTTGTGGTACTTTGTTATAGAAAACTCATATGAACCCCATTAACTTGACTTAAAGAGAGTCATAGTGCCAAGTGCCAGAGTACATGGCCACCTGTTACTTTATACCTTGCTATGTTTCAAGAAAAAGTTATGGTACATTAAAAGTAATTTTAAAGAGTTATGGTAGCTTACAGAGATTCACAAACACACTGATAACACAAATAAAAACTAGGTGAAAAGAGAAAAACCAAAGACAGCCCTGGTCATTATGGATCAGTTGGTTGGCATCATCCTATACAGCAGAAGGTAGTGGGTTCAATTCCTGGGCAGGGTACAAACCCAGGTTGCAGGTCCAATCCCCAGTTGGGACATGTGCAGGAGGTAGCCAATCGATGTTTTTCTCTCACATCAATGTCTCTCTCTCTCTCTCTCTCTCTCTCTCTCTCTCTCCCTTCTTTCTAAAATCAATTTTAAAAAATATGTTTATTTAAAAAAACAAAGATATATACAAAATAAAGCCAACACCAAAGTGTATGCAAATATACATATAGTAGTTCTTGCCATGAGTCCACTGCAAATTTGGCTTTAAACTTTCTAACAGCCAACATGCAAAGGAAGCCTCCTTGTTTACATGATTCAATAGCCCTGAGAGAAAAACAAGCCAGCTCCTCAGAAACACAAAAAACAAGGTGAAATTTCTACCCAGAACAGTTTTTTGGACTGGGTTATGCAAAATAAAATGAGGGATACTCATTACACCATGTATAAATATAACTAGTAAACTTCTTACACCAGACCCAACTTTCTATGGCTACTTACTATATCATAGAATAATAACATGTCAAAACTTAACTTGATTAAAGCAAATTCTATAGCACAGTTTGATGTCAAACCATAAAATTCTATAGAAGGGAAGAGGGTGTCAATAGAATACCTCCTAGGTATACGGCTCACTGCTGATTTGCCTTATTTCTAGGGTACACTTTAGAGTATTAATGAAAGGCCCTGAATAATGCTCAGAAAAGTAGTGTTCTCAGCCAAACTATCACACATTCAAGTGTTTCATACAATGCTTATGGGATGTGGCCTGCTTGAGAGTAGATTTAGTATGAAAAGAAATACTTATAGAGTTTCTAGTATCTGCCAAGCAGGGGCTGGGTAACTACTTAAGAGTTTAATATCCCATCCCTATCCCTGAAGAAGCATCCAGGCCAGTGGGGGAGAGGGTCACAGAGGGCTCCAAATAGCACCCTTCATCCAGCAATGGGGTACTAAGAATGGCCTCCTATGCCGGGGCAGTGTGGCTCAGTGGTTGAGCATCAACCCTTGCACCAAGAGGTCACAGGTTCGATTCCCAGTCAGAGCACATGCCCAGGTTGTGGGCCAAATCCCCAGTGGGGGGCATGCAGGAGGTGGCCAATCAATGTTCTCTCTCATGGATGTTTCTATCTCTCTCTCTCCCTCTCCCTTCCTCTCTCTCTCAAAATCAATAAAGAGAAGAAGAAAAAAAAATGAATGGCCTCCTGCAGATGATACTAATTGCCTATTAGATAATGCCTAGATAAGCAAGGAAAGGTGTATGGCACCCAATGTGGTCAGACGACTCTTCAGCTGAGCTTCTAGAGTCAAGGAATGGCCTAGAACACGGCAAGGCCTAGGATGAAGGAAGAGAGAAAGAAAACACCCAGAATGAGGAGAAAAAGGAAAGAAAAAGTGCATGTCAGCCTCCACCACAAGGCACACACGTAGCCATTGCTTCAGAGGTTTAGGGGGCAGCTGTGTAATCATTTCCTGCTAAACATGGTCAGCGAACCCTGCAGGACCTTAGAGGAAAGCTAACTCCCTTTTTCCCTTCGGAACCACCACCTTCTCGCCACCCGCACACCCGACGAGCTAGCCTCACTGCGCATGCGCCCTGTCTGGCGCTAGTAGTTCCGGGTCTTCCACTGGGGTTCCCCTCTAGCCTTCATTTCTCTACTGCTCTCCGCCTCCGTCGCTAGCGAGGCTTGAAGCCGGGTTGGGGGCGGGCCTTCCGGCAAAAGGGCGCGTGGGAGAGGAAGGTCACGGCTAGGTAAGGCGTCCGGGACTTTCGTGGGGGTCTGTAGCGGGGTGTGTATGTACGGTGGCCGTGGAGGTCCTGCGGGGGTCCACAACCTTGTAGGGTCGCCAAGGACAGGACGAGTCAATGTCATTATTATGCAGCTTGGGGGTTTCGCGGGCATCACGCCAACAGTTTGGCCTTTTCCTGCGTGAACTGGGGGGTTTCCAAACGGAAGACGCGGCCTGGTTTCCTCCCGCGCAGGTCCAGTCTTCCCGATTGGGCCGCTTTCGGGGCGCCGTTGCCCTGCTCACCAGACGGGTTTTTGCACCGTAGCTTTGTGTGGGGCATGCAACTTCGTTTTGTTACCAGCTTCAGAAAACTATAATAAAGTGATGTTTAAGAAAAATTGTGGCGAAATACCTGTCCGAGTCAACGTCAGCTGACTTGACCCTATGCCTTCCATCACAGGCAGGCGGAGGGGTTTGTGGGTGTTCTTGTGGAACTGAATAAAGCTGATGTATGTATCAGAGCCATGATCTCCGACCCAGTGAAATAAGCAGAGCCGGGCTTCAAAAATAGTCAAGCATAGCGTTTCACTTGTTTTCCCGTGAAACACGTGTTGCACCGTGTGTGTGAGTTCTTGAGGCCTGGTGATTATTAGGGCAGGCACTGTGCCATGACTTTTGCAACGTGGCCTCACAACGCGGGAGGTTCAGGAGAACTGTCTTCAGGTAGAGGAGAAGACAGAGGCAAAGAATGCAGTACTACTACTACAAACGCCACAGGGCCGTGAAAGCGCGGAGCAGAAATCCAACCGGGTGTTCAGCTCCAAAGCTGGTGCTGGCCTCTAACCACTGGTTTTTGAGAAACTGGAAGAAAGCTCTCTCCCCAACAAGATTTACGCACACACACGGCATTTCAGCACGCATTTTTAAAGTTCCCCGGGATTGCCTGGCTGGTGTGGCTCAGGGGTTGAGTGTGGACCCATGCACCCAGAGGTCCGTGGTTCGATTCCCTGTTGGGACACATGCCCAGGTTTTGGGCCTGATCCTCAGTGGGGCCATTCAGGAGGCAGCCAGTGGATGCTCTCTCATCGATGTTTTTATCTCCCTCTCACTTCCTCTCTCTCTAAAATCAGTAAAGGAAAAAAAAAAAACTTAAGTTCCCCAGGATTCACCACGCTGAGGGATATCCCGGTTAAGAACTCCTGCACTTCTCAAAGAAAAAAGGCAAACCTAATCCAAAACCAGTAATGAAATAAACAGTGAACCTGACCTTTCAAGTGCCTTGAACCTATCAGAAAGATCAAAGAAACTTTCCCTTTTATGCCAAAGTCAAAGTATGGGTATTTTCTTGTGTGGGCTTAACAAGCTTGAGTATTTGGTTTTTGCTTAACATTTTCAACTCCAGTTAATTTTCTTCATGATACTGTTTTCTTTAGTTCACATTTAAAGAAAGGTGATTTAATTGTACCCCTTAGAATGGCTTCATGTGAATAAAAGTCTAATTGACATGTAAATCATTTGCCTTTTACTTTAATGCCTTCAACAAGGTCATCATATTTTTTTAAAGATAAAATGGAAAGAAACCGCAAAGAGGCCCTGAAAAGTCCTCTGAGGCTTTTAGTTGTGTGTGTGTGTGTGTGTGTGTGTGTGTGTGTTTTAATTTAAAGCTAGTAAAAAGTAGCAGTACGCCAGTCTTAGAACCAATACTTATGGAGAGCAGAACTTTTTAGCTGTTTTAGCCTATGTGGAAAATAAAAAGAACATCAAGGTCCTATGCCATTCTTAATCAGACACAGATGTGTTATGTGGAAGGAGACTACAAAGCAGTAATTGGTAATTATCATAACCATTTTCATTTTCCTTCTATTTAGCAAATGGTTCTTTGTTTCTAGTAAGGGATTCAGGTTTGAAAAGGCGTATTCCCTTTCTCTATCATAAAATAAAGTTTAGGACTTGGATTTTGTTCCAGTAGATTCTAATGAGACCTTATGGTTTATGAGCTGTGTGTCCCAGTAATTTGCTACATTCTAAAGTGGGCATGGAAGTAAGTTAGCATCCTGTGATAGCCTCAATGACCACTGTCCTAATGAGTCCCTTCCTTTTCGCTATCTGTCAAGTTACCAAGCTGCTGATCCCCTCCCCTATGTTTCTCTGGCTGCCATCTTTGTAAGTGAGGATATTACCCCCAGAGAGGTTGGGTCTAACTGCATGGAGTATGTATCGCCTTTTTTTACATAATTAAATGAGGACAGGAATAAACAAATGTGCCTGTATAGAACATACGAGCACCAACTTACCAACAGGTTTAGAGTTGTTTTTTAAGGTGAATGCCATTTACTGAGTGCCACTGTCTTACTTATTTCTCACAGTAGTCCTGTAAGCTTTGCTTTCCTAAAAGGAAACTCAGATGTAGAGAGAATAGGTACAGGATAACCTAGCTACTAGTTCCTAAGTCACCTTATAAATAACTGATTGTGGCCCTGGCCAGTTTGGCTCAGCGGTTAGAGCGTTGGCCTGCGGTCCGGAGAGACCCGGGTTCGGTTCCCGCTAGGGGCACGTACTTCGGTTGCAGTTTGTCCCCGGCCCTGGTTGGTCGTGCGGGTGGCAGCCACTCGATGTGTCCCTTCACGTCGAGGTTTCTCTCTCTCTCTCCCTTCCTCTCTCTCCCTCCCACTCTATCTGTACAAAAAATGGAAAAATATCCTCGGGTGAGGATAAAAAAATAAAAATAAATAAAAAATAAAAATAAATAAAAAATAACTAATTGTGGAAATATGCAACTGCAACAAGTCGATTCTGATGCCATAATAGTAATTAAGCAAAATAATTAAAGTGGATTAAGAAACAGTTTGGTTTTTTTTATCTGATGTTTGGGAAAACATCACTTTAAAGGTAGGAGGCAGAGAAAAGAGCATGCAAAGAAACGTAGCTTCTTTAGGCAACTTCTGGGCATTTGTGAGGCCTTTAGAGTTTAAAGCACTGATCTGTTAATTATTTTCTGTTGATACAGTAAACCAGCGATTTTCAACTTTTTTCATCTCATGGCACATATTAACAAGTTACTAAAATTTTGTGGCACACCAAAAAGTATATTTTTTCCCCAATCAGACAAAAAGAAATAGGTATAATTTTGATTCGTTCACACAGGACAGCTGTCGTGTTGGCCGTTGTCATTTTTTTATTTGACAGCCTAAAGGAAAAGAGGTCTATGCCCCTGACTAGTCAGGTATTACATGTTTTAAAAATTCTTGCGGCACACCGATTGAAATTGCTTCATTAAACAATTAATGACTTTTTTCCTTGTGGATGAAAATATAACCCCAACCCAGCCATATAATCGAGCAAGAGTTGGGAGAAAAGTGAATCTGGGAGCTGGGCACACTGAAAGGAAAAGGAAGACGAAAGAGCAAGACTTACACAGATCCAAGGCCAAGAGACCTTGGATCTGACCGTTCTCCCATTGCTGGCCTTCAGGTGGCACTATTGGCCCTAGATGGCTTGGTTGGTTTTAAAATGGTAAATGGTTAGAGAGAGACAAATCTGAAGTTGGTTTGAGGCCAGCCTCTGTTCTTTCAATAGATCTTGACATAGACATGAAATACTCCTTCATTTAAACACTGATTCTGGCCCTGGCTGGTTTGGCTCAGCGGTTAGAGCGTCAGCCCACGGACCAGAGAGTCCCGGGTTCGGTTCCCGCTAAGGGCAACTACCTCGGTTGCAGTTTGTCCCTGGCCATCTTTGGGGTTGTATGGGTGGCGACCACTCGATGTTTCTCTCTCTCTCTCTCTTCCTCTCTCCCTCCCGCTCTATCTGATGATAAGTGCAAAAAAAAAAAAACATAAACACTGATTCTGTTTTGTTTTTCTTGCACTGGCTATTTCTAAATGTACTTGGCACCATTCCTATTTAGGAGAGGTTTTTGTATATTTCTCCCACTGGTTTTTCAAGATAGGTTTGTGACTTTTTTCTGTTTGGAGAGCATCTCCTTTCCATCCCAGGGGAACTTTCCCAGGATGGTCTCTTAGCAAAGATCCTCATCTCACTGTGTACAAAACATGTCACATAAATTAGCATATTTTGCCAATAGTTACCCCTACATCTTAACTGGAATGGAGTAAAATAGTTATTCCACCAGCAACATTCTTGATTTTTATGTATCACCTATGTAATTTTTGATATACATTAGCTGTGATTTCTGCATATTACAGATGCTAGTTTGCATTAAAGCAGAATATATAAGATAGAAGGTAAGACAAGTAATATCACAATTCATAAGTGCCCTCTATTCAGGAATAAAATGAGTCTTTTGAGCTCTTCATTTTATTTCTATAAGACTGCTCTCTCTGTTTTTCCTAAATGGCTCTCAGTCTCTAGGCAGAACTCAGTCCAGCAACCTAGAGGCTAAATGATCTCATAACTCATTAGCAGTTCTCAGCCATCTGGAGCCCTTGAGATCAGTGTTCAAAGGACTGATAATAAAGACAACAGCATAATTATTTCTCTGCCATGATTAAACCTTTAGACAGTAAGCAGTCAGCACATTTATTCTGCAGACTGCTTAGGTGGGTGTTTTCTGGAGGTATAGTAATGCTGTGGAAGGAAAGCTCGTTCCTCTGCCCTCTTCTAGCCTACAAGTAGGTCAACTGACCATCAGTAAACAGCCTATTGAATCACAAACTAGTTCATTGTAAAAGGGCAGTGGAGCAAGGAAGCAATAGCATGTGAACACCAAATGTAAAAATTAATGTAAAACATCAAAGAATAGCCACTTGGCCTGTGGATATCCTCAACCGCAGGGCATGTCCTGCCAGCAACATGGATGGATTCACGTGTGACTTGCTGTGCTTTCATTTCTAAAGTGTTCACTCAGTAATCCGGGAATTTCTGACACTAACCTGCTTGTCTTGCTTTCTGTAGGGACTGTTGGTCCTTGCTGCCCCAGAAATGTCTTCACTCTCAGAATATGCCTTGCGTATGACTCGTCTGAGTGCCCGGCTATTTGGGGAAGTTGCCAGGCCTACTGATTCCAAATCCATGAAAGTGGTGAAACTGTTTAGTGAGCAGCCTGTGGCCAAGAGGAGGGAGACCTACGACTGGTATCCGAATCACAACACTTACTTTGCGCTCATGGGCACACTGCGTTTTTTCGGCCTCTACAGGTAACAACAAAAAACCAAGAGCAACCTGTAAGAGATTTGTAGTAGGTCAGAAGAGGGAAAATATATGTATGGAGCCTTTCTGTCTTTGTAGTTTTGTGGTTTTTATAGTAGTGCCCAGGTAGTTCAAAAGGTACAGTGTGGGGAGGGTTCTTTCAAAATATCCATCGATGAGCATACCAAAAATAGAAGGAAACATGCATTTATTGGAAGACATGATTTAATTATGTCTCTAATATGACTTAACACTGACTAGATACTGAGCTACAGTATTAATTGGTCGTTAAGAGCACTCTAAGCAGGTCCTGGCTGTTTTGGCTCAGTGGTTAAAGCGTCGCGTCCTGCGGTCCAGAGAGACCCGAGTTCGGTTCCTGCTAAGGGCATGTACCTCGGTTGCATGTACCTCAGTTGCAGTTTGTCCCCAGCCCTGGTTGGGTCGTGCGGGTGGGTCGATGTGTCCCTTTCATGTCATTGTTTCTCTTTCTCCCTCTCTCTCCCTCCCACTCTATATGAACAAAAAATGGGAAGATGTCCTCAAGTGAGGATTAAAAAAAAAAGGCACTCTAGGCAGATGCAGAGGAAAACTTGTCCAAACACTGTACAACTCTAGAAAGAAATTAGATCAGATACCTATGTGATCAGTTTCTTTTTAAAAAGTCTTAATTACCAAACTAACACATGCTCATTATAAAAGAATTCACAGTGAATAACTGTATAAAGTTAAAATGCCTACTTATTTTTCATTTAACATGTTTTAATTGGACTTCTCTTAGGGCAACAAAACAAAAATTACTTTGGGACTGTTCACACTAATGTAATAAAATTACTAGTTCATTCCAGATAGCTGCATTCATTTATCCAACAGATATTTTTTTATGTACCATCCATCTGTGGGCACTTAAGATGGGCACAAGGGAGCATCAGTGAACAAAATAGGGTAGATTTTCTTAGTTAATATATTATTAGAGATTATAATCCATGCACATGTGAACTTCTGGAACTGCTTTGGGGGCAGTTTCCCTTGCCATTAGTCTGGGCTCAGAAAATAAAATTTTATTTTATTATGACTCAAAAGAAAATACTACTGGAAGGCAGATCTCCTGAGTAGAAAATTATAAGCCACAACAAAATCACATTCAGCTACTTTAATGTATCTGTTTGCTCCATTTGTTTGAAAAAATAAAGCCTTGACTATCTTTGGGGACAGGGAAAAAACACTCTGCATTTTGTTACCCATGGACAAGCACAATTATCTTCATGCATTTAGTCATGGTAAATGGTGCCTCGAACATGAGGCCTGCTGTGGCATCCGGCAGGATGAAACCAGACAACCTCCAGTAAAGAAAATGCTACTCCAAGACCTGCAAGGGGGAGGGAAGCACAGGTTCTCAAAAACGGACCCATTCAGTCTAGCAGGTACTTGGGCCATTTCATCAACGGAGACAAAGACCCCTGCCTTTGAAGCTTTCTTTCTGGCTGAGGGTCGATGAGAATGGAGGAGGGAGTGTAGAAGAGGGGAAAACATAGTAAATATGTAAATTGTGTGCTATGTTACAAAGTTGGATGTCTGTGGGAAGAAGAATAGAGCTGGCTGGGCAGGATCAAGGGTCCTGACAGGGCACTTGGTGGGCAGAGCGCCGATGGGTCACGGTATTAAACGGGACGGTCAGGGTTAGCCTCATCGAGAAGATGAGGTTTAAGCTGGGACTTGAAGGTGATGAGTGAGCCCAGTGGAACCTGGGGGAGAGCTCTCAAGACAGAGGCAAGAGCAGAACAAAGGCCCTGAGGCTGACGTGCACCTGGTGTGTTCCAGGAGCACATGGACTGGGGTGAGCGGCAGGACTGCAGGCAGATCCCGAAGGGCTCTGAGGGCTATGAACAGGACTCTGTCTTTTGTTCTGGGTGAAATGGGCAGCCATTTGCAGGGCTGTGAACAGAGGAGTAACATGGTGTGACTTACATTGTAGAAGAATTACTCTGGCCTCTCTGCTGAGAACAGTTTATTTGGGGCAATTATAGCTAATCCCAAAGACATCTGTTATATCCATCGTGTTCATGGACTAAAACAGCATACCCTATAAAACCATAAAACAGCTGAGGGAGCCCTGGCCAGTTTGGCTCAGCGGTTGGAGCGTCGGCCTGTGGAACAGAGAGTTCTGGGTTCGGTTCCCACTAGGGGCACTTACCAAAAAAAAAAAAAAAACAGCTGAGGGAGTTCATACGTGGCCAGCAAACCCCTCCCTGACATTTAATTCATATGCTGTTATTGTCCACACTTTACAGATGAAGAGACTAAGATTCAGAGAGGAAGGTCACTTATCCAAGGTCATGCAGCTACTAAATAGTGGAGCTGTGAATTGAACCCAGGTTCAGATGCGTTCCAGAGCTTACATATTTAAACACCGTACTGTTCCTTAGGTGTTTGATCTTAGAATGCAGCCATTTTTACACACTGTAGACAGTCTTCATTTCACACCCCATCCACGTGTGCACTCAGTCCTGGCTGCCCTGATCCCTAGAGTGCCTGCCTTTTGACTTGGTTTCCATCTGCCTGGGGCTTTCTCCTGCAGCCTTTGGTGCGAATTATCCACTGTCATTAGGCAGCTTCCTCCACACCCTGTGGTAGGTGCTCCTTCCTGGGGCTCTCAGGGTCTCTAGCTGTTGAAGTTTTCACTCACTTTCTGCCCCTCTCCATATTTTGTCTCAGTGTTGTAGGGAAATTTGGAGTAACTATTAGTGTTGTGTCTTAGTTACATAGGTTTGCATGGCTGGCCTAGGAATTAACTGCTATTTGTGACATTGTGTCTGTGAAGGGGAACTGTGACTTAGAAGTAAATTTTTGGAATACAGTGCATCTGCATGTTGGGGACTCCCTGTCCTTTCTGTTCACCAAGCTGAGCATGTGCTTTGTAGAAGCCAGGGACTAATTACCAGAACCGCCTAAGGGAACAGTGCTAGATTGGTGTACTTTCCCAATCTGTAACATACTGGCTTGTTTTTTCTCTCTGCATTCAGAGATGAACATCAGGACTTCAAGGATGAGCAGATGCGTCTGAAGAAGCTTCGTGGGAAGGGGAAACCAAAGAAAGGAGAAGGGAAAAGAGCAACAAAAAAGAAATAGTTTTGGTCAATCCAGAGAGAAACTTCCTTCTCGAAGACTGAGAGCAGAAGCAAGAGTATTTATTATTATCTTTCCCCCACGCTCGACGAGTGTAGGCTTCTTAAGATTAAGAGTATTTGGAGGAACACAATCATCTTCGTGTTAAAGTCTGATCCAGTTAAAGTGTGACTGGTTTCTGGAGCACATTCTAATTTTGCAAAATTATTTTGGCCTTGGTTTTGTAATCTGAGTTTACCTCATTCCCTAGAGAAATGAATGCACAGATTATTGTTGAATGGCTGTTTGGGGTGAGAGCGGGATGTTGGGAAAGGGGGGGGGTCATTAAATAAGCACCTTTTCGTCTCCTCATTACTCCCTGTAACTGCCCTGAAGTCTCATCTCTGGCTGTTCAGCCACTCCCCACTACCAAGCTCACAAACTCTATGTGCCTCTCCACTTGTTCCTTTGAGGATATCTAATAAGAGAGTATGTACCTGGTAAGAGAGTATTAAGTATCTGCTGTATAGAAGGTACTGGGCCCTGGTAATACAGTGATTAGCAAGAGAAGCAGTCCCTACCTGGTAGGACTTTCCGTGGGAAAGACTAATACTACCTAATTACATAAATACCACTGTGTTAAATGTGACAAAGGAAAAATCCAGCCCAGCTGGTGTGGTTCAGTGGTTGAGCATCAACCCACAGACCAGGAGGTTGTTCAATCCCAGTCAGGGCACATGCCCAGGTTGCAGGCTTGATCCCCAGTAGGGGGCGTGCAGGAGGCAGCCAATCGGTGTGTCTCATAGATGTTTCTCTCTCTCCCTTTCCCTCTCTCAAAATCAATAAAAAACATTTTAAAAAAAAAAAAGGAAGCATCCAGACTTCTAAGAGAGGGTGGATGGATGAGTTGATTGATCCAGAGAGATTGCAAGAGGCCCAGACCTCAGAAGGGAATGTAAAGAAGGCCTCCCTAAGGAGATGGTATTTGATCTGGCGCTGGAGGATGAATAAGAGTGAGGCACAGAGAAGTCCTGTTCAAGGAACTGATAAAAGACCACTAACTAGTACTGGTTGGTCATAAGGAAATAGAGGCCAGATCATGAAGGGCTTTTTTGCAAGTTGGACTTAACCAACTTCACCAGAGATCACAGTGTGTGAGATATTATTTCTGTGAGAGCTGACTTGTATACATTTGAGTAGCTAGCTGCTCATTTTATTGTATTCTAGCAGTGAGCCTTTAGTGAGTTTGTGAGGGCTTCTGATTTTTTTCCAAGAGTTGCTCTGAAGATCTCTGACCCTGTCTAATAAATTTTTTTAAGTACTTTTTTTTTCTTTATCGTGGTAAAAAACAGTTTACCGTTGAAACCATTTAACCCACTTCTACCTCTTGGTGGGAAAGAGCACAGTGCACAGGCAAGAGAATGTATAGCAGCTGCCGTTTTCTTTCCCTGCAACCTGAGAAGTATTGGCAATAACTTCCCTGTGAATAATTCCTGAACTAGTTAGAATCCCACTACATATGTTTAGATAAATGATATTTTCAAAAGACATTATCCAGATGGTGTGGCCAGGGCCTGTATTATAGTCGATAAAAATAAAAACTACAAGAATCGGGTGATTTGTATCTGATAGATGTGAATTCCAGCAGAAGGCTGAGACTCCATTTAGAACTCTTCCCTGAGCACCTGCCACGTGCCCGACACATGCTAGTTGTAGAAGACACGGCTGAAGAGACTTAGCCTGTACGATGGTGTGGATGGGCATGTGGGTGTTGTGAAATATTGACAAGATCGCAGGGATTTGCGCAGGAAAGTGCAGACGTGCCGTTGGCCGGTGCACCCAGCCTGGCGAGTGGATGACTGCCCCCGGATGTGGGGATGTGCAGCCCGAACCCAGGGCAGAACGCCCCAGAGGATAGTCTCATTTATGTCATCTCCAACTTTTGGAGAAGGCCTGCATGACAGGAGCTCAGGAGAATTAACATGTTACTTTAAAGAGAATAACTAGATACCAATAGCCAACCTGAGTCAGAAAACAAAGACTTGGTGGTTGGTTCACTAATGGGCCAGAGCCTGCAAGGAGCCTCAGCACTTTCATGGGAAGCTTGTAGACAAGACCGCAGCTCACTGTGCCGCTGCTCCATGCTGCAAGTAGAAATAAAGCTAAAACATAAGCTGTGTCCTAAAACCAACAGAGAAGTAAACGCTGTGTGCCCGGCCAATGCGGCTCAGTGGATTGAGCGTCGTCCCATGGACTGAGGTCCCAGTTCCATTCCTGGTCGGGATAAGCCCGAGTGGTAGGCTCGATCACCAGTGGGGGGGCATGCAGGAGGCAGCCAATCAATGTTTCTCTCTCACATCGATGTTTCTATCTCCCTTCCTCTCTCAAAAATCAATGCAAACATTTTTTTTTTGAAGTAAATGCTATGTGACTCAAAACAGCCTGTACTGAACAGTAGAGCGGATGAAAAGTGGGAGAGGGAAGAGTTAATTCTTGATGCCATGGAAGCAACAGATTTTAGGACACCAGTAACCAAGGGTTAACACAAAGACTGACTGCAGTCAGGAAAGAAAAAAAACTTACTGTAGGGGTAGGCTAGCCAGATTGTTTAATCGGAGTTCTCTTGTCAAAAACAAAACTATTTGTTTTCCCTCTAATGTTTGGTATTTTGTGTGCGTGGAGGATTTTTCAATTTCAATGGCACAATAGAAAGAGACTGGGCTTCGGATTATGAGTTTGTGACATAGTTTTCTATGTAACCTTATGTCACTTGTCTTCTCTGAACTTCTTTCTGCCTCTTTAAAATCATAACACTCCATACATATTTGTGAAAAGGTCTATGTAAATTGTAAAAGGTTAATCAAATATTTTTACATAGTCATTTGTATAATTAGAAAGAATTGACTATGTCTTACTAACAGGTTTTTCCAAGGCAGTGTTGACAAATATCTGCTAAAAATACAAAGTTCTCTTCATTTACATGCAGCATGATAGGTTCAGGAAGAAGCAGATGGGAGATTAATTTTATTGTTTATGTAATCATGGGTGCCAGAAACTCATTTTTTAAAAAGTATCTCATACATACACACACACAGACCTACCCCAGAGATACTGCAGTTCAGTTCCAGACCACACAATGTACAGTAATAAAGCGAGTCCTTGTTGGTGAAGAATCTTGCCTTCAGTTTGTAAGAAACACATCTGTGACATGCATAAGGCAAAGTACAATACAATGAGGTGTGTGTGTGTGTGTACAGACACACATATAATCTTATTTATGAAGCACCTTCCGTGGAAGCCTAAGTCCAAATTTAAAATTCTACCCTCTTCCGCCCTGGCCGGTTTGGCTCAGCGGTTGGAGCGGTTCCCGCTAAGGGCATGTACCTCGGTTCCAGTTTGTCCCCGGCCCTGGTGGGTCGTGCAGGTGGCAGCCACTCGATATGTCCCTTCACATTGATGTTTCTCTCTCTCTTCCTCTCTCTCCCTCCTGCTCTATCTGAACAAAAAATGGAGAAAATGTCCTCGGGTGAGGATAAAAAAAAAAAATTCTACCCTCTTCCTTTTTCCTATTTTCTCACACATTTCCCCCAAAGCTTCTAAATGCCTACTTTTGAAGATTTAAAGACAAGAACAAACTTCAAGAGCAAAAGAGGGAAAGTTCTTTTAACCTGCCAACCCTGTCTTCGTGGCCCTTATTCTTAAGTATTCATTTGTAAGTTCAAAGAAAGCATTTTTTTTAAAAATGAGATAGAATCAGCGAAACAAACCATAAAACATTCTAGAAGACTTACATAAAACAGAAACAACCAGTAAAACCCTGGATATCGAGATAAATAGAAAACCAATAAAACATTTATACTGAACTTAAAACTGAAATGTTTTGTAAATGACATAAAGGCAGCAAACCAGAGAGGGGGTCATGACACTAGTGGGAGGACTGGCCAAGGGACAACCCAAGCACAATTTTCTAACTTAATTGGAAGCCTGGCAATATAAGTTTATATTAAAGTAGAAATTAGAGTTCAACCAATGTAGATTTTTTTAAAAATTCATTTTAGGGAGAGAGAGACATCAATTTGTTGTTCCACTTATTTATGCCGTCATTGGTTGATTCCTGTATGTGCCCTGACCGGGGATCAAACCCAAACTTGAGTGTATGGGAAAGATGCTCTAAGCAACCGAGCTACCCAGCCAGGGCTCAGCCAATGCAGGTTCTAAGACTGTCTTCATTCTACTTAAGGAAACGTTCTCTGAGACAAGATAGATTTATTATGCAGAGCACTCTGTGTCTACTGGAGAAAATATGAACTCTTCCTTACAGTCTAAATGGGTGCTCGGTATGGAATATCTTCCCAAAAGAGTCACAAAATACTAATTGAACCATTGGATTTAAAATAAAAAGAGCATTCCAAACAGAAACGGAAAGTCTCAGAGAGGACACAGTTTGAATCTAAAAGTCTGAGTAAATCTAGTATGAGAAATGACCGATGCATTCAGCACCGCACAAGTGAAATACAAATTCATAACAAAGAAGTTAGAGATGGAGAGAGCAATGTGGTTTGAATAATCAGAAATGACTTCATAAGCAGTGAAAGCAATGAATGAGTAATGTCAACATTTTTGGAGCATTTACCACACACTGGGCATTGGGTTTTGTAGGCCTTATGTAATCCTGTATGATAAGTATCCCCACTTTACAGACAAGAAAACTGAGGCTTAGATCGTGTGTCCAAGATCACAGCTCCAAGTGTCCAGACTGAGGTTTAAATCCAAGCCACCTGACTTCAAAGCCTGTTGCCACTCACCACAGTTACAGGTAGGATCTTTACAAGCAGAGAGAAAAGGTCACAGCAAACAGCTCAGGCATGTGCAAACGCCTACAAACAACAGTGGTTCGTGAGAGCAATGATGGGCATGGCCGCGCAACCTCACAGCCATAACCAGAGTGAACCGATAGGGGTGTCCTTCCAAGGCCTGACAAGGTAGCACCGATCTCTCTAAGTCTGAGGACTACCAACAATAACTGCCATTGGTCCAGTGCTTTACCGTTTGCTAGCACCATACTTAACTTTCCCTGTAAGTTATATCACTTAATTCCCACAACAGCCCCATGAGGTATTATTTTCTTCATCTTATATGTGAGCTTAAGTTTACAGCTGTGATTCTCCGCTCTGGCTATGCGTTAGACTCATCCGGGGGAGGTTAAAGGAACTCTGGGCGGGTCCCATTCCAGAGCAATTCCCACTTGGAGAAGGAAGGAGAAATAACGTAGGCATTGGTGCTTTTGAAAAGCTCCCAAAAAGGCTCTACTGTGCAAGTTAACAATTACTGGTTTAAAGCGGTATTTCTTAAACTGTAGTTCACATGAAGGGCTTAAACAGCTGGGCCCCACCCCCAGAAATTTTTTTAAATTTTTTTTGTTACAGATGTTTCTCCTTTTTCCCCCCCAGACACCCTCCTCCCTATCCCGCCCCCCCACCCCGACCCTGCAAGCATTGTTGTCTATGCCCATTGGCTACACATATATGCATATAAATTCTTTGGTTTATCTCATCTCCCCCTACCCCCTCCTCTGAAATTTGTCCGTCTGAACCGTACTCCTTTCTACTCAGTAGGCCTTGGTGTGGCCCAAGAGTTTGTATTTGTAATAGTAGTGACCACGTGTTGCCGCTGCTGCTGGTCTGGGGACCACGCTTTGAGAAGGATTCATTTAAAGTCACTTGGGCTGGTTGCAGTTTGTCCCCGGC